CGTTCGGACGCAATTTCGGATGCGGCCAGCGGTACTGTGAAACTTATCTGTGTCGGCCTCACGAATCCGTGAGCCGACGGCGGAATGATTCCAGTCACTACGCGACGAACAGTAATCTGCCCGGAGCGGAGTAGAGTCAAATGTCGATGACACGTATCCGTGCAACGACGGCGGAGTGACTACAGTCGCCAATCGACGAACAGTAATCTGCCAGGAGCGGAGTCGGTATCTCTTAGAGCGGATAATCGGAATCGGGTTCTCCTTCGAGAGCGGTGGATCGGTTCTGATTCTCTTTCGAGAGCGGATGATCGAATCTCTCGATTATGATTACGCGGTATTTTATATACCTCGAATCTTGCTTGATTCGCTATTTACCGCTGTTGTTCGGCGGTCGCGCTGTTTACTATTTTGGAGGACGCGCTGTCCTCTTGCGCTTTTTGATTCGCGATGTTCTGCGTTTTCCTCACGTAACGATATGCATCGTTACAAATATTTGAATATTCTATCTATATATGTGTCAGACAACCTATATGTGTGTTTATGATTATGTATATGCGCATGCACATGATTATTTTTTATAGCATATTATATATGATATATTTAATTTATAATTATATGAAAAAAAAAATATATAAATATTTCTATATATAATCTAACATATACAAATATATTCGTAATAGAAATGAACTTCAAGATGAAATTGTGTCACTATAATTGTCCCAGATATTTTTATGAAACGTTTTGATGTTATCTTGAGACTTGAAATAGCCAATCTTGTTCAATAAAAGAGAAATATATCAGCTAATGTAAAAAATTTGAATCCACGAATTTTAAATATCTTTACTTATGTGGGGAAGCGATTTATAAAAAAGGATTTTCTCACCTATTGAAGGAATCACGAAGAGTCCCTTGGTACAGCTGATGACTGGCACACGATAATGGATGTGATGGGATGGTAACATCGGAAGTTCGATAAGCTATGCTGTGATAGGGCGGCGACGTGTCTTCATTTTCATTCAGATATCTGCTCGTTGGCTCTATGTAGTATTCCTCGAATCTAGTCACGACGCTGCCGTCGAAAAGACCGTCTTTTGTAATGATGCCTTGCACCACAGCGCTCTCGTCCTCTGAAAATAAAAAGAAAAAAGGAAATAAGCAACACAAATTAGTAAGGAATTAACACAATCGAATTTATTAGGTTATTTATTAGTGAAAAAATATACTTCTGATTATATTATTTATTCAGTACTGATTTGTAGCACATATTTCACTTTTCTATAGAAAAAAATAAATCAATCCAAATTTTCAGACATGATAATTTATGACAAAATAACGTATAATTCGGGAAGTCACAACCCGGGAAAAAATGTTCAGATAAAAACCAGATATGGATTTTGTCAAGATCTTATTAGATTTTTTATATACAGGGTGTTCGGAAAGTACCGGGACGCCCGAATATCAGGAAAAATATAAGTTTTACAAAAAAATGTTTCAGACAAAAGTTGTGGCGTTTAAAGAGATGTATTTACTGATCACATCAGTTTGACCTTGGGTTGCGTAGCGAAGGTCAGGTCAAGGTCACATTAATTTTTTTAAATGGAACACCCCATTTTTCATTGCATATTCTTATAGCACATCTCGAGAGCTTT